CCGAAAAGTTCGTTAGTAGAGGCGTTCGTATCCCGAGGTACCATTGTACTTCCTCTAGATTGGTTCAGATGTAATACTAAATCATTATTTAGCTTAGTTTTTCCGTTGGATTGTCATGTATGATCATAGCTTGGGGCAAACTGTGGCTTGAAACTGGATTGTTTAAAAGCTGCACAGAGTTTGTTTTAAATCAAAGTTTTGACCATATATAATGAAAAGACAGCTTTCTGATTTATAAAATAAACTCTATTTGAATGCACCCTGGTGAGCCATTATTTGCTGTTAAAGTGGAAGTGAGATGTACAATTAGAGTGAGGGATGCTGTGCAGCGTGAACTGACAGATAGTTTCTCTTTTATTGCTGAGAACCTTATTCTCCATTGTGCCTTGTCTTATTTTAATTGGTTGTCACTGTCTTGATAGTTTACAGTTTTCTTTTATGTGTAATTAAAAGCTGTATACATGAGAAGAATGCATTAAAGAGGTGGCAGAAATTAGAATGTACTCAGTTCAAAAACCTACATTCTAAAATAAGAAATCTGCTGCAGTTAAAAGTGTAATTAAGATTGTAGATGAGCTTAGTTGGGAAGGTATAAGCAAAATGGAAGTTGCTTAATCGCTGTCTTTCCATGTAATGCATGCTTGTATAACTGCAGCCTTCTGTACTTTGGTGTCCTCCAGATATGTTGGACGAGTTCCCATGAGGCTCACACTGGCTGAGGTTTATGGAAGTGGAACTATCTAAAATATCTACAGCAGTGTTTTTCAAATTTGGCAACTTTAAGATGTGTGGACTTCAACATGCTGGCTGGGGAATTCTGGGAGTTGGTCCATACATCTTAAAGTTGCCAAGTTTGAAAAACACTGATGTAAAGGATATATACTCAGAAACTGGTGATAGGGGAGCCCCATCAAAGACGGGGCTGGAAGCCTAGTGATAAAAAATTGTGTGGAAAAGAATGCTACAAGGAAGGACAGTTGCATGCATGGTTTCTGCTTTGTTGAGGATATCTTTTTCTAGATTGGAAGATATTGTGACTGAATCCATCATATGATATTAAAGATTTTGGAGCTTTGTTTTTCCTTACATGGTAATCTGGATATTGAGCATTCTTCCAGTTTGTATATATCTTTGGAGGGGGTGGGGTGGGTAGGGGAGTTCTTTTATTGACATCAAATGTCTGTGGCTACAATACATAACATTATTGAATATTTCTGTCAGGCAGAGGACATTTTGAAAGCCATGTGTTAATAGCTGCCTTGAAATTAGTTGGAAGAAATCCAGGGCATAAATCTTCATATTAACAACTTAATTAGAGCACTGTTAATGTCAGGAGTGTCAGAACTACTAGAAATAGCTTCTGATATGAGCCAAGATCTAACAAGTAAAAATTGCTTTTTTCTCCCATTTTATTTAAGCGAGGAGTGACATCACGAGGGACTAGTATGGGCTGACTTATAGTGCATTATGTGGTACTGTAGTTCAAGAAAGATTTATTACTGTGCTCTAAACAACTTTTGGTGGTGGTTGTTTCACTTCAGTGTTGTAAGGTACTGCATTAGGAAGGCCTTTTCCAAAGGAGATTATTTATTTGTTTCCTTTTTTCCTACTGGCAAGAATCTTCTCATCACACTGAATAAAAACCTGCCAAAGCAAATACTCAACAGTTTGGATTCTGCTGCTGAGCTTCAAAATCTTAACATGGCATGTTTTCCCCCTCCCCCTTGCCATTATTATGTGATGGATTTATACGTAAGCAACGAAGCATTATAACTTTTCATAGGAGTACAAGTAGTTCTTGCTTACCAACTACCTTGTTTAGCGACCATTCAAAGTTACGAAAAAACAGCTTTGCAACCAAAGTAAAATCACAAGTCATGGTCACAAGATATCTTGCTTAATGCCCCAAAATCACATGATTTTTACTTAGTGACAGAGTTGCCAATCCTAATTGTGGTCGTTAAGCAAGGACAAACTCTACTGTATGGTCCAATGGCTGGAGTAATTTCATTGTCTTGACATCAGCACCAATTCTAACTGGAAAAAGATTGTTGTGTTTGCTCAGATAAGATGCAGAACTTTTTGGTGCTAGTGTAAAACATAGGACTGGTATATTATTTTACCTTCCAGAGATGATGCTGAATTTGTTGGACTTTGGCTCTTTCCTGCTTAATGCTGCAAAAGTTTTAAATATCATGTCATAAACTATCCCATCTTTATTCTTCTGGTAAATAGAAAAAAGCAAAGCATAGGTAAATACTAGTCTTACTGCTGACGGAAGTACCACTAGTGAACTTATCTGAGAGCGAATCCTCATATAGCCAAAACAACTTCATCCAAAAAGGAAATGCCAGTAGGCTGGGTTCTATGCAAGTGAGTATCATACCAAACTGTGCTGAGTATATTAATCTCCTAGTTTAAGGGCATGAGAGACATTGATACTGAGTTTGTTAAGAATGGGGCTTATACCTTTAATAGGCATTTTAGGCTTTCCAGAAATTATAAAGTTACAGTGTAGCATTGTTCCTTTTGGGAGGCATCCTTTTGCTGAGAAGGCAAGATGTTTACCAGAGAGCAAATGGTCTGACTTTTTCATTTTTTCCCCTTGGCAATGTGATGTTTAAGGTGCTGCTGGCCTTAAATGGGTATTCATGCTGTAATGTTTCATGATACCTATTTTTTAGGGCTGCATGGAGTTTCAAAGGAATGATTAGATCAAAGTATCCCCTTAAATTGATTTGAGATATCAAATGTAATCATATGCCTTCAAATTGGAGCAATTTGTAAGTGATTTCACGCTTTGAGGACTTTTGGCTACTTCTAGTTTTGTAGAGTCTCAAACATTGTTGCATATACAGGTAGTCCTTGGGTTATGACCATTCGTTCAGTGACTGTTTGAAGTTACGACTGTGCTGAATGAATGGTAGTTATGACTATTCCTCGATGTTCTGGCTGTTGCAGTGTCCCTGCAGTCACATGATCAAAATTTGGATGCTTGGTGACTGGTCCTCATTTACAACCAGTCGCAGTGTCCCACGGTCACATTCTTCTGCTCTGTGTGCCTGCCTTTGCTTCAACTCCCCCCACCCACCCATCTCCCCCATCTCTGCTCTTTTGGCTGCCCTGCACTCTACCACCTACCCCTGCTGCTGCCGCCCCCAGCTAACCTTCTCTGTCTTCTTCCTCCCACTGCGGGCCTGGGATCCAGGTGCTGGTGAAGGTGCAGCTCCAAGACACGCACAGCAAGCTCGGTGGGGTGGCGGGGCGGCAGAGCCTTGTCTGCCAAAGGAAGCTTGCTGGGCCTGGCCGGGGAGGAGGCAGCAGAATGGAGCCGGTGGAGGAGGCAGGGCAGTGGTATAGGTTGAAGGAGCCCCATCTTCTGCCACCAGCATGGGGAGAGAGAGCCCACAGACCATGGAGAGCGCAGCAGGCTGGGCTGGCAGAGTGCATCAAGCTCTGTTGCCGGGTGAGGCAGGACAGGCGGCAGCTCCCTGGGCAAAGATGGCAGCTGTGCGGGAGGCACTGTTCGGCTTGGTGGCAGAACTGGAGGAGGTGGAGGGATGAGGGCTTCCCATAAGCTCAGCATGCGTTCTGCAGCTCTCATTGGAAGCACTCCTGGAGAACTGGCCTGTGAATTCGGGGGGGGGGGCGTGAGGTGAGCCCAGCAACAACACAGCAGCCTACCTGCAGGCTGTCTGCTCGCTTGGCCCAGCCCTCCTTCTGCAAAGCCTTCTCTTTGGCAGATGAGGCTCTGTTGTGCTCACTGCACCTGTCCTAGGCCTGTGCTCTTGATCAGTACCTGGATCCTGGGTCAGCAGCAAGAGGAAGAAGACAGTGCAGATCAGCTGGGGTGGTGGCAAGGGGTGGCAGGGATAGGTGGTAGAGTGCAGGGTGGTTAAAGTGGCAGAGATGGGGGGAGATAGGCGGGTGGGGGAGTTGAAGCAGAGGCAGTTCGCGCAGGGCAGAAGTGTGAAGTCCTCGTCTAATAACTGTACAGCCCTAGCCTAATGACTGCAATCTGGACTGCCGGGACTGCCATTGCTCAACATCATGTGATGTTTTGCTTAATGACTGCTCACTTAACAAGGATTACCTGTACAGGCCAAGCTGAGGAGGGTGTATGGCTTGAATGGTGAGATCGGCCCTCCAATATTAAATTAGTAGCTGACTGATGAATTTTACCACCATCACAGTTCTTGGAGAGTGGTTTGTTCCGCTGGTGGTTTTTTTTTTTTTTGCTTTTTTGTATGTTTTATTTTGTCTGCTTTTCCCCAGTCCATATCTTTTTATCTTTATCCTTGCCACAATTATTTTTAATACTCTCTGTTTTCTTTCTGCATTTGTCTTTCTTGACTTCTGGGTTTTCTTCATGGCATAAATGGGTATGAGATGTGTACCTGCTGTTAGACTAATGCAGAATATTTATTTCCATTATAGTGTACTGAATATACAACAGCGATAAAATGTACTCAGATTTTTTTTAAAATGGTTCCACAAGCAACATGTAATGTATTATTTCTAAAAGAGGCTGATCTTGCCAATAAGCCATGCTATCAAGTCTTATGGCCCAGAAAAATAAGTAGTCAGAAAACCATGGACTCTCCAATCTTTAGTAAAAGATTACTTTTAAAGCTGATTTTTAGTATTTTAAAATTGGAATAGGATATGTTCCGCATTGGTTCAGTACAGGTCCTCTGTAGATGATCCTAAAGGTAGCAAGTTTGCCTAAAGTCTTTTAGAAAGTTTTTCAAAGAGACAAGATTTGAACTTCCTGATTCATAGCTCATCCTTGAACACTACTGTGTTGCTTCCTCACCTTGCTTTTGGAAGAGGCAGGTCATTCTTTGCTAAATGAAATAAAATACTGTATGCACTACAACAACAAAAAAGTGTTTATACGTTAGGACTTGGGAGAAGGAGTGATGTCTGTTGTCACATTGCTGTCTTCCCCATCAATTATTTTATGACCATCTACAGGTTTATTTAGAAGTGACAGTATGTTTCATCATCCCTCAGATGCTGGGGTTCTCAAGCTAGGTTCTCATTTATTTCTTATGGAGTGTTGTTCCTACATACATACATGTGTGTGTGTGTGCATATGTCTATTGGCCAATTTCTGCTGAACTGAGTGAAGCACTTTCAAGGGATTCTGGACCAAGTAGACATTTTCTGATCTAGCACAGCACTTATATTTTTAAGCAAATAACTTGATAGCTAAAGAAATTCTGAGTGTACATATACTGCTTTTTTTACACAGTGGTGCAGTATGCAGATTCTTGAAAGGAGGAGAAACATAGACTTCTTAAAGTTGAACTCTGCCTACTTCCCTCTTCAGTTCTATATTATTAAGCAATCATTTCTGGGAAGCAGTCTCTAGTTTTATAATTATACTTGGAAGGGGAATATGTTTCTAAAACCTGAGCCTTAAAACTTGATTCTGATAAGTAGTCTACTACATATGCCAATATATGGTTATCTAAGAAAACACTTCTTATTTGGAAGGCTTAATTCTTTGCATGTCTTAAAATAATCTACTTCTCTATTCCTATACCTTGTCACATTTTACAGTGGCCATATATCATGTACCCTAAGTGGACAGAATTGGATGGGGTGTATTATATTCAATTTTCCCTTCAATAAAATAAATAGATAACCCATTCTGAAACCTTAGGCTGCATATGGTTCATTAATCAAGGATTCTGAAAACATAGCTTTACTTCCAGAAAGTGGGGGGGGGGGCACAGAGCAAGCATTAGAAAGTAAGACCATTAAATTTATGAAAAGGTTTTCTGCCTTTTCCTTTGCTTACTTAATCGGTATCTATTTATCTATTGATTGAAATGAAGGGGCAGATTATATATATATGGGTATTTGGTTTGCATGATGGGGTGTTTAGCCTCTAAGATCCCAGATTAAATCCTGCATTTCCAGATAGGATTGAGAAGGACCCACTTTTAAAACCTTAAAACCTACTGCCATTGAGTACTGTACATATAATTCTGAGCTGAATGAAACAGAGTTCTGATTAATTTCATGAGAGTCTCTATCTCCACTCATCTAATTGTTCCTGCAGGGATGCCTGTGTAAGTTCCAAGCATTGAGTTGGCATAAATCTGTTGCAGTATTGAAGGAATTCAGCTGTTCTATACTGCATGTTTCATTGGTGACTGTCTATGTAACATGTAGTCCTTTTTTAAATATCTAAAACCATGATGAAGAAATAATCCAAGATCTTACTTTTCTATATACTTTTGTCCATAAATAAACATTCCACCCATTTTCTTTTGGTTTGCAGTTGGTATACATCTAAACCAGCATTTTTACTCTTGTTGAGTTATAGAAGGACTTTATTCCCTTCTCAACAGATATAAGGCTGCATTAGTAATTCACTGAGAAATGTAAATGCAACATTAGAAATATGTTTTCTGTTTTTCCTAAAATGTCTAAAGAATTTAATTCGTTCTGCTTGTGGCTTTAAATGTTCTGATGTGTAGTGTTTTAAATTAAAACAGCATATGGTACTCTGTGTTTGTTTTTTCCCAATAAAATGATATATGAAAGAAAAAATATATAAATAACTTGCTTTCACATGTTGCATAAAAGTAGAATTGCGGAATAGTGTAGCCATCAAGATATGGTTTTCGTTTTGGAAACTGATGCTGGATCTCCTGATTATGAAGAGATTTGCTTCATGCACAAAAACGTGGGCTGCGTGGGGAAAGGAACACGATGCCTACCAGCCTCTTCTTTGTATAATAAAAATTGTCTGAAAGATGCCCTGTAATTCAGAACCTCTGCCTAATACATTTATTCTGACTATTTCTGTTTTGATCATATGTTTCTTTCTATGCTTTATAATGTTAAATGAAAATATTAAATATATCCTAGCACATAAAACCATGCTTGCTTTTATGGAATACCTTGGAAGCTTCTTTGTGTCTAAAAACTGATAAAGAGAAATATTCCCTGACATTAGACTGTTCTGTCTTGCTTGTTGTGCTACTCAGTAGCTACATGAAACTGGTGGATTTGATCATCTGGGCCTTTGGAAAGCTTATGACACCCAATTCCTTGCTATCCTATGCTAGGGAAGTAAGCAATACCATCAGGCTTTTCATTGCTATTGGTTTTAGCATTAGTGTTTAATGTATGTTTCTTTCCTGTATTTTGTAAATTGGTTTTTGTAAATTGCCTTAACTATTCATTTTATCAGAAGAAGTGATTCAGATCGCATAATATCAATCAGGAACATTTTTGAGATGTTAGCTGCTAAAAATATTTATAAAAAATATTTCAACATGATCTTGGGTATAGAAACCACTGCATAATGCAAAGGTCCAACTTTGTTTTAGGGCTAAGAAATCAGGGTCCCTTCTATTTATTCATTACTGTCAGAAATCATTAAGGAGCATTGTTAAGAAGCAAAATCTACTGATTTAATAATGCCTGTCTTCACTCAGCAATGTCTTTACCATAGTCACTTATTTTGAGGCCTTGGGAGTTAATATCTTTGGGAACGGGGAACTTAGGAAATATTTCTGGTTTGTGGATTTTAATCACAATGATAATTGTAATTCATCTTCATTCTGGGACTGTTATCACAGCCATAAGTAATATTTGCTCTTTAACATGATTGTAAAAGCAAGTCTGGCAGACAGTATAGAGAAGTGAAGAAAGATGGTAGAATCCTTTTGCTTTCTCAGTCTCTGCTGACAATGGTTCCTAAGCAGTGCTGAAAAATAAAATACTGTTTTCCTTTATTTACCACACTGGCAATCAATATGATTTTGTGTTTTGTAGCTCGAGACAGTTGGATGGCAACTTAACCTTCAGATGGCTCAGTCCATGCAGGCAAAACAAAAATCTCCTCAAGCTGTATTAGAACTTGGAGTGAGCAACGAAGATTCAAAAGTAAGAAGCTCTTTGTCACGTATTTTTTCAATGATGTGTTGAAGCTTTGCAGATAGTTAGTGCATCAGTCTTCATGTATTAGAAGCAAGATCTAAGTTTAAATAGGCTGTGAGTTATAGACAGCTGAGGATACTTCCAAACAAAAGCTTTACGCTACTTTGGTCTTATCTTACAGGGTTTGTTTGTTTTGGGAAGCTAAGTTGATTTATTTCTGGTTCTGCTTCAGAGTATTTGAAATAATACCAAAGGTGGTCTTTTGAAGTATTCCTTTGCAGTTTTGTGTGATCTGTTTTTCCATTGGTAGGAGCCTTGCCTCATTTTGCCTCCATGTCCTTGGATTTAAGCTACTCACTTGCCTCCTCTCTCTCACCTTCCTACCACACTGAGATTCAGTGTCTTGTTCCTGAAACTGATCTGTTATCCATTGTTTTGCCATCTTAGCAACATGCAACTACTGTATTTAGTTATTTATTGTGGAATTTATACCCATGCACCCCTGGCATGCCAGCATGTGGTATTACAACTTTGATTGTTTCTATTGACAAAATTGCTGAAGTCCTAGTGTTTTATTTTTCCTTCACAATTCTTAGGAGTTTTTAAATACAATAGAGCCATGACTTGGCAGTTTTAAAACTTCCCCTCGTAGCAACTGCTACGCTTTTTAAAATATTTGTTTGCATTCACTTATGAGCATGTGAGTGTTGACAAGCTCATCATGTTCTTTGTATGTTTTTGTGATCTGAGGTAAGCAAAACTGAGGATGAATGTAGGTCAGCTTCAGATTTTGTGAAAGATTGGGGATGGAAATAGTGGTGTATGAAAGTGCCCCAATTAATTTTGTCTTAGTAAAGATGGATTTCATTATACAATGAATGCTATCAACTTTCTGCTATCTTTGTAATAATGTGTTTGGGGTTTTTTTAATGTATATATCACGAAAATAAAGGTTTTCCAAGGAGAGTTTACAAAAGCATCTAGAATACATGCTGTACAGCACAAACTAGACAATAATTTAAATAGGTAACTGAGAGCAGAACACGAAGATGTGTGGAAAAAAGATTAATCCATTGTAGCAAAATAATAAAAGGCCTTGAAAAGTTTTTCCCCCCAATTTTTTCCCTCTCTTTTTCAAGAGTAGGCAACGTTTTTCAAGAGTAGGCAATTATTCATTTCAGAATATTAGTAAAATTATACAATGTAATGAAAGTTATTTTGTGCCTCTTCAGCCCTGAGTGTTGAGTTGAGAGCTGCAGTGGTTTTGAAAAGCAATCTGACTTAAACTTTGATGGATGCAAAAAGAGTTCTGCAGATGTAGACAAATCAGCAAGAACACCTGCTCCATATTTATCTACTTATTTAAACTTGGCACACTGATAAACTGAGAATCTTACCATTATAATAATGGTATGACTACAGTTGATCTTAAAGGTAATGGTAGGACATAGGAGTGAATCAGTGTCAAAGCGTTACATACAGTCCAAATTTTTAAAAGCTTTATAAGTGAAAGCATTTTAAATTATGCCTGCAGCAGACAGAAACTTGTGCCAGTAGTGGATCAATGGCATAATGTTCCCTGTACCATTTAGATATTTGAGGAAATGAACAATTGTGTTACGAAGCTTATTGGAAGTTGCAAAGTACAGCTTCTTGTTTTATTGTGGCCTCAAGGGTTTGTCCTCATAGGATGGAAGAGATTGCAGGCTTATATCTGGCTACCTTTGTAACTTGAACGGCCTCAAGGGTTTGTCCTCATAGGATGGAAGAGATTGCAGGCTTATATCTGGCTACCTTTGTAACTTGAACACCTAGAATATCTGGATTCAGAGACAACTTCGGGCTAAGAATCTGATAACCAGTGGCATGATGCAACCATGCGGATGCTAAAGATTAATGACATATATAGAAATTAACTAAACACAACAGCTGCCCATTCTTGTGTAGTGCCCATCCTAAACTCCTGACTTTAAGAAGCTTGGTAAAATGTTCCTTTTAAAACTGGCTTTGGTGTTCTTAAGGCCTAATAGTGAAGGTGGACAGCTTTATTTATTTAGTTATTGTAACTGATTAAATAAATAATTTGATTTTGAGACTGCTTGTTGAGATTGAGTTATACTTCCAGAGTCAAGAGACTGGGGTAGAGTGTGCAAATAAATTTCAGAAGACATCTTGTTAAGGGGAAATGTTTTTTTACTTACTTGCACTATGGGAAGATCTACAGTCAAAATCTTAAGATAAACGGACAGTGGTAGTAACATTGCTCCCCAAGGAAGAAAAAGCCCTAAAGCAGATTTCTCTGTTATGTACTCTTGGAGCAAAAAGTGGGAAACTCCACTTCGTATTGTGGACTGTGGCTTTGTTTAGCTCACACGTGTTTTATTAAAGCAGATGCTGATGCAACAAGCAAATAGAAGTGCATCATTTTGTGCTTACATATTGACCACTTTAAAGAGACTCTGCAAACACCTACTTTTAGAAATAATGTGCTAGTTTTCCTTAACAAAGTATAAACATGATCCTAAATGTGTGGATTCACAGATTTATCAGCATTGGTGGATCTTCCCCTCCCCCAAGGGTGTCACTTAGTGAAAATATAAAGTTGGGGTCTTTAAACAGGTTTGGCAGCTCGCTACTGGCAGTGCTTTGCTTCCTTTTCCCAAGCTAGGGTGGTGGGATACATAGGGGGCAGCTCAAGGCCTGAATCGGTCTTTCACTAGTAACCTTGTGCTTCACTGCGGAAGGTGTGAAATGCAGTGAACATTTTGCTGCTTTATGAGCCTTTTGAAGGCTCAGTTCTACCGTGGCCACACCTCCCTCTGACTCTCTTGACATTGCTGTTGAGTCACTTGATTCATCTCAAAATCCCTTGGAGGAGGAGCATGGCTGGTGGCAATTAGAATTTGGTTGGCTACCAAGATCGGCCAAAACATGTGGACAGTCCTTTCATTGGGATTGATTTTCAACTCTTATTTAGAAAACAACAAGTATTTTGTTTACAAATGCTAGTAGCATTGTGTGTACATTGCAGCTTGAATTATAACAAGACCAACTGGAACAAAATTGTGCAGTGGAAAGCTTTTTGTAAAAGTATGCTGCTTCTTGGAATGAAGAGATGATTCCCTTTGGAAACAAATTCTTGCTTTGATTTAATTCTTGCTTTATGGATCATAAAACAACATCATGTTTTCTCATGTGCTTAAGTACCTTTACCTTTCTCCCTCTCTTGTACTAACATATGAATTCTAACTCAGGGAAATACTGTAAATTCTAAAATGGGTTTGCTAACAGTAAGTTTTGTTTAGATGTTCCTTGACCGAAATGCATTGCATTGGCTCACTAGAGGGCGGTAGAGCTCTTTCAAGTGTCTGTTTCTTTGATATTTTGAACGTTTTTTTTCAATAATATTGACTTAATTGTGGATTTAGATTGTTGAGGGAAACTGTGTTTACTTTTCTAATCTGCATACAGTAGGACAGTTGATAATATACAGATTTAATGCCTTTAGCTTACATAAAATTAAAAAATTAAATATTTGCTTAATTTTTATTTATATTTGGGATATAATAAATACTTCAAGAGATATTTAAAATTAATGTCTGAGAGGGAAAATGTTAGTGTGTGAATTGTATTTGCAAAAGGAATTACTTGCCAACTGAAGGAATATCAAGAGATTGCAAATTTACAGGTGTTTTTATTAGTTTAGATCTCTTCTTTTCAAGAATCTATCATAGTTAATTGAAACCTAATAAAACCAGTTTAGATTATTATTACCTGATGGGAATGAAGGGAAGGATGCTGCATCGGGCAAGGACAGTGAGCACTCTGAATCTTTGTACTATGCCTTTTTGACCTAGATATTTCCAAGTCAGGAGAGAGAAGCTATTGCTCATCTTAAAAATACTTTGTCCCTATAAAAATAAACGTTTTTGTAAAAGCAAATAGTAAGCAACACTTTGTCTTTTGCTAGATCCTAGCAATGGAGCTACATTTTGAGATGTGAAGGTTGTAGTCTCACTATATATATATAAAAATAAAATAAAATAAAAATAAAATAAAAATAAAAATGTATGTATGTATGTATGTACGTTTTGGTAGCTTTTCTGTTCCATTAGTGGGGCATCAGTAAACTGAATCATCTGATACCATACATTTTCTCCTCATGTGAATCATCATCATCATCATCATCATCATCATCATCATCATCATCATCCAGTATTTTCCCTTCATGGCTCCCCTGTTGCTTATTTCCCTATTTAGGAGGTGTGAATTTGAATAGTTGTGCAATGGGTTATCCTGACTCTATTGGTGATAATTATTGATATGGATCTTAGATGAGGAAACTAACTCCATGGTGGTTTGTCTCATATGGTGTGTTCTACTTCACAGTGTGACCAGATGACCAGAAACTAACTGTAGGAGTGTTGATTCCCATTGCTTGTTTTGGGAGGTGCCTTCAAGTCAGTGTTGACTCCTGGAGACTGCCTGGACTAGTCCCTGCAGTTTTCTTGGCAAGATTTCAGAAGTGGTTTGCCATTGCCTCCTTTCTGTGTCTGAGAGAGTGTGACAGGCCCAAGGTTACCCATCTAGCTTCTTGCCTAAGGTGGGACTAGAACTCACAGCCTCTTGGTTTCTAGCCTGATGCCTTAACCACTAAACCAAACCGGTCCATAGCTAACCACATAAAAATGGTCTTTTTTCCTTAAAAAGGGGATTGGTTGAAAATGGAAATAATAACCCTAACTCTGCTATGGGAATTTGCTACTTTTTGATATACTGTACTTCATTAGTGGAAAAATATAATCATGTTTTAAAGTTATTTCTTCTTGGAAAAACAAAACACAAAAATGGACTCATTGAGCTGCACTTTTGAAATATCTGAAGTCAACTTTGACTTTGTGCCCTTCAGATGTGCTGGACTGCAGTTCTTTGCCAGTATGACCTTCTCCAGGCATTTATTCCAATTTATCTTGAGGGTGTAATATTATCTGTATTATTGTATTTGTGTCACAGGGCCAGAATCCATGTAAAATTTAACTGTATAAAAC